CTTCACCCGAGTGTCCAAGACATATGGCCGGAGGTCAGATGAAACAACCACAAAGTCGATCATCGACCTCTGGCCTAGGGTGTCCTGGTGCCATGTGCACTGATGGACACCCTTATGCTTGAACATGGTGTTCGTTATGGACAAACTGTGGCTAGCACAGAAGTCCAATAACAAAACACCACTCGGGTTCAGATCGGGGGGGCCGTTTCTCCCAATCACGCCCCTCCAGGTGTCACTGTCACTGGCCACGTGGGCGTTGAAGTCCCCCAGTAGAACAACGGAGTCCTCAGTCGGGGCCTTTTCCAGCACCCCTCCCAGGGACTTCACTGTGTGATTTAAAAGAACCTCCTTTCCTTTAATGAAAACATAATGGCACCCTAATTGTTTACTCTTCACTTGCTGACTTGAAATTTTGGTGCATCTTTGCAGGCATAGTTATTGTTGTAATTCAAAAGAGAAACATCTCCTCCTGGAGGAAGAGAAACCAGACAGAAAGGAGGATCTTCACAGCAGATGGAAACTTGCGCCATGGTCTGCACTGTGTCCTTCCTATTAAACTAAGACCCCTAATGGGGAAATACTTGACTGTCCAATTGAACTGTTGTCCCTTTCTGTAATCTCTTGTCAAACCACAGCTTTGTTTCAAGTTTTCACCTGAGCAACACTGCCACATCACCACCACCCAGTTGTTACTTCAGCATCTTGAACATATAGTGAATGCAAGATATGAGGTAAAAATGAATCAAGACAGGTTAACAATCAGCAGTTTTATAACTTTTCTTCGATTACATCATACATACATTTAACCACTGTGAAGAGATAACTTAGTGGTAAAATTAAAGAGCTGTTACGACTGATATCACGTCTTCATCCATTCAGCATCATTAATGCTCAACATGCTCCTTCTTTCACATAATCTTCATTATTCCCTTTCATTTTGTGACCAGCTTTACTTACTCTCTGTATCAGAGACCTCAACAGGAGTGATGTGTGGATGACTCTACTTTCAGGCATGGTGGAGTTATTGATGGCCATGCTTGATTTCCATTTGAATTGCCTGAAGCCCAGGAACTGTGGCCAGGCTCGTTACAGTCTGTCTTCACAGGACAGATGTAGTTACCTTTTGTTCCAAATGGCTTCTCTTCCAGGAGTTTCAGATGATGAGGTAAGCAGAAAAGCCTCTTTCATGACACCCAGAACAAAACGAAGCAGGAAAACATGTTAGGCTTAATTCCAGGTCCCCTTTTCATCTATTTAAATTCAATGTAATGCATGTTAAAAAGATGGATTTCCAACAAATGACTCTCAAGGATGAAATATTTAAATGTCTACTTTGCATTTTCAATTTAGTGCTCCATCTGGGAGAATATGCAGATCAGCAGACAAGTCTTAAAACAGTTTATTGCTAGTGCAGTGATATAAATCCACTGTACTGCTGTTAAGGTATGCTCCATTCACTATTTTATTTCCTCTGGAGGAGCACTAAAATGGTGCCTCCCCTACAAACAAAACTTCCAGTACAATCAGTTCATGGATCTTGAAGTACCTTGGAGCTTCATGGACATTACTGCCAAAGCATGGCAACAATAAAAAAATCTTTTAAGATAATGGCTTTCAACTGTGAGGAGAGTTCTTTTTCTTTGAAAAGAGAAGACTAATAAAAGGATATATCACAATGCAAAATTTATTATGCATTAACGTATCAAAATAAGCATGTGCACATGGATCTTCACCGTTTAGGATAAACAGAAACGACTGTCCTCAACTTGTCGGTATACAATATTTGTATGAAAAGGTGCTACTACCTAATTGGTCAAAAACTGTTGGGGAGAAGCCGTGGTTTAGACTTAACTCTCCCGTTATTGGTCCTTCAGTCCGTCCGTCCCCCAATCGTCCTCTCTGCTCCAATGGTTGTGAACAGCACGCTAAAAAGGGGAGGAATACCTATTCTGTCTGATGGTGCTGATGATGTTAATCTGATGGTGAAGATCATGTATTGTATTGTTGTAATTCAAAGGAAAGTATGATTTATTATAGTAAATTAAACTGACACTGATCTTAGTGAATAAATGGAAACTGGCCTTGATTTTAGTTACTGAAGCTAACTTGACCTTAGGTACTCTGACTGTGTGTGTGTGTGTGTGTGTGTGTGTGTGTGTGTCATGGTTCTACCTTTGAAGTTTTCTCCTCTTCCTGGCTTCAGATCTAATCTCTATTTTCTAACCATAGTGTCCCAATGAACTCTAATTCCCCTGGTCTCATCTGCCAGGTGGTGATAATAAAGATAATGGCTTTCAACTGTGAGGAGAGTTCTTTTTCTTTGAAAAGAGAAGACTAATAAAAGGATATATCACAATGCAAAATTTATTATGCATTAACGTATCAAAATAAGCATGTGCACATGGATCTTCACCGTTTAGGATAAACAGAAACGACTGTCCTCAACTTGTCGGTATACAATATTTGTATGAAAAGGTGCTACTACCTAATTGGTCAAAAACTGTTGGGGAGAAGCCGTGGTTTAGACTTAACTCTCCCGTTATTGGTCCTTCAGTCCGTCCGTCCCCCAATCGTCCTCTCTGCTCCAATGGTTGTGAACAGCACGCTAAAAAGGGGAGGAATACCTATTCTGTCTGATGGTGCTGATGATGTTAATCTGATGGTGAAGATCATGTATTGTATTGTTGTAATTCAAAGGAAAGTATGATTTATTATAGTAAATTAAACTGACACTGATCTTAGTGAATAAATGGAAACTGGCCTTGATTTTAGTTATCCAAGCTAACTTGAGCTTAGTGATTAGATGTAAACTGACTGATTGTAGTGAATAAATATAAAGTGGCATTGATTTTAGTGATTAAATGTAAATTGCTTCTTCCAACTAACTGCTCCATATTAGGCATTGCTTTCTGGTTCCAATTAAAAGTACTCTGACTGTGTGTGTGTGTGTGTGTGTCATGGTTCTACCTTTGAAGTTTTCTCCTCTTCCTGGCTTCAGATCTAATCTCTATTTTCTAACCATAGTGTCCCAATGAACTCTAATTCCCCTGGTCTCATCTGCCAGGTGGTGATAATAAATTAACTGTGGACCCTCTTTACCAAAGCTCTAAACCTATTGAGATTCAGTGTTTTAGCGAACCAGTCCCTTTGATGTTAAACAGTGCTCCAGTTGGCTAACACTATAAATATTGACCAGTGATTCAGTGAACACATAGGGTGATATGTAACTACATAAACATAACTGTGAGATTAAAGTATATAGACTTATGTATGCTATAAAATAAAAACTTTAACTAATTCTATTCATATCTACTTAAAAATAAAAATCACCCTAACACAACTGCTTGCAGCTCTGATGAGGGCATGCAACCTGTATTTCAGGTCTGTTCTCAACTGAATAAACAAAACCAAACAAACAAAAAACCTACATCTTTATTTGTTCTTCTCAGCTGTTGTAATCAAATACGGTACTTTTTCCAGCCAGAAGTGTTCTCTAGAACAGAAAGGGAATCAAGGCCTTCCTGCTTTTTGGGTAATCTTCAAATTTAGCAAGGTACCACCTACACAGACATAAAGTGGGAAGAGATATTCTTCTGTTAATATAAGCATTTGTATTGCAAGTGTGCAGTGCGTATGTGTTTTTATTCTTACTTGTGGTGGTGCACAGCCCTGCTGGCGAGCATCACTATGGTGGAGATGGCAAAGGCTGAACTGTGAACAGAGTGGCCAGCTAAAGCGAAGCCTACCCACTCAGTTATCTCTCCCAAGAAGTTGGCTCCAGACACATATTCAAACATTCCTCCTGTGGGTGGAATTAGGACAGGTATGCATATCCTTTTATATGTTCCCTGAAGAGAAAAACTGCCATCAGATTTCACTCTGCAAGAAAAATCTTAATGTTTTATTTTCTCTTATTACAACTGAATTGAATAAGTACTTACCATCTGCACTGTCCTTTAACATGATTTTGAGTTTACATGCTGGGTATAAAAAAAAACCTCAATGGCAGCCACACGACTCACTACACTGACCATAGATGGTTGAGCGCCCACTATTTGACCACAGGTCATGTGTAGTGCTGCTACTCAATAACTGAAAAAGGCAGACTCTTGACTGAGAAGTCTCCAAATGTGGTTGGATGTTCATTTGAAGCAGCACAGGTCACAGCTTTTACCTGCCTTGACCTCACATTATTTTCCTTAAAAGTCCTGGATGGATTGTTTCAACAGGTTGAGTCTTAGTCAGGGAAGTCCCTCTCCTAGTGAAGCTATTATTATTACTACCGATTCATTTAGTAAAGAAAAATAAGCCCAATTTATGGTTTTAACTGGCCATTACTACCACTCATAAAATAGGCATCCATTTTCACATACAGTCTTATGCAAAAGTTTAGGCACCCCTTGATAAATAACAGATTTTGGTGATTTTTTATTTGAACAGATGTTAACACAGTTTCTCTTGGAAATGGAAAAAATGCACAATATTTTCAGCAAACACCTGCGTCTCTTGAGGTATTCCATAGTGGATTTCGAGGTATGTTTAGGATCATTGTCCTGTTGTAGAAGCCATCCTCTTTTCAGCTTCAGCTTTTTTACAGATGGTGTGATGTTTGCTTCCAGAATTTGCTGGTATTTAGTGGAATCCATTCTTCCCTCCACCCGTGCAATGTTTCCTGTGCCACTGGCTGCAACACAACCCCAGAGCATGATAGATCCACCCCCATGCTTAATAGTTGGCAAGGTGTTCTTTTCATGAAATGCTGCTCCTTTTTTTCTCCAAACATGCCTTTGCTGATTGTGTCCAAAGAGTTCTATTTTAACTTCATCAGTCCACAGCACTTGTTTCCAAAACGCATCGGGCTTCTGTAGATGTCCTGTTGCATACTTCAGACGTTGGATTTTATGATGGGGACGCAGATAAGGTTTTCTTCTGCTGACTCTTCCATGAAGGCCTTGTCTGTGCAAGCATCGCTGCACAGTGGAACGGTGCACCACCACTCCTGAGTCTGCTAAATCTTCCTGCAGGTTTTTTGCAGTCAAATGGGGGTTTTGATTTGTCTTTCTGACCAGCATACGAGCAGTTCTGTCCGAGAGTTTTCTTGGTCTTCCAGATCTCATCTTGACCTCCACAGTTCCCCTGATCTGCCATCTCTTAATTACATTTCTTACTGTGGAAACTGCAAGCTGACAACGCTTTGCTATCTTCTTGTAGCCTTCTCCTGCATTGTGGGCGTCAATAACTTTCATTTTCAGGGTCTTACACAGCTGCTTAGAGGAACCCATGGTTGCTGGGTGTCCACAAGTGTGTGCACAAGGTTTGAAGAGTCAAAGTATTTGTACAGCTTTGAAATTGGCATTTACCAATGACAGCTGTTGCTGTGCATCAGATCTAACGAGCTGATTAAGGTCTGATACCTTGTGAGAGACTTTGAGACTCTGGAACTCTTAGGGTGCCCAAACTTTTGCACCATGCCATAATAATGTTTTTATTTTTTATTTTTGTTCAATTTATGGCATAAGAAGTAACTATGCATCACTGTTTGCTGAAAATATTGTGCATTTTTTCCATTTCCAAGAGAAACTGTGTTAACATCTGTTCAAATAAAAAAATCACCAAAATCTGTTATTTATCAAGGGGTGCCTAAACTTTTGCATAAGACTGTAGTAAAGGTCATGTACTGTAAAAATATTCACCACTTGAACATTCTTATCATCTATAATATCTTACTCATTCTCTTGGGGCAGAGACACACCAAGCTGATGTGAAAGAACTAGCACAGATGAGGCTGACTGTTGCGTTGCCTTTTTTTGGGCCAGTTGGGATGAAAAAGTGGCACTTGAACAGAGAGCCACAGCAGCAAGAACCATGTAAACACTACAAGTTTACAGAGGGCAAAGACAAGAGGAACAGATAAGTAGTGACAACCTGCGATTCTGCTTACTGTCTGATCCTCTATAATTAAGCCGCCACACTGGAAAATTAGCATCTAGTGCTGCATAGAGAGAGCGTGGTATTCTGTGCCATGATGTGATTACTACTCTTGACTTTCTCGTTACCCCACAGCTGGTGGAAAATATATTCAGACTCTAAACATAAGAAGAATCACAATCTAAAACATGCCTTTAAAAATAAACGTTCAAAAATAAAAATACTGACTCTGAAGAATGGTTCCATTTAGAGCTGTAAATGTATGTACGTACAGTATTTTAAATGTTTTAAACTGTAGATCTGTAGATGTGGCTCCAAGTGAAGCTTAAGTGCAGCTATCATAAATGAAACAAAGTAAAATAGTCATAGTAATAGTATTAAGTAGGTAAGTACCTTCATATTGTATCTATCATTCACTGTAGTTAATATTAATATTGTACTACCTTAGTCATTCCACTTCTTGTCCCAAGTTTCCCACCTCTCAGAGTTAAATGTAATAGAAATTAAAGATAAGAGGTGAGAAAATAATTCAGTCTAGTGTTTTTATGACTAAAGATCTTACCGTTGGGAATTCTGTAACCAGTCTCTCCAGGCTTTCTCAGGTTCCTCAGGATGTGGTCTGAGTGCACATTCACCACCCAGCCAACTAACCACAGTACAGACCCTGGAAGTGAACCAACCAAAGGCTGTTTTAACAATATTTGACAGATCAACAGCCAGACAGCCAAGCTGTGTTTTTAAAAGTTATATAATCTATTCACAGCATTCATATGTAGTTGTGGTAGTCCTGAGAGCCAGGTTTCTCAGTCAGCTAGATGAAGAATGGGGTTTAAAGCATTTTCACAAATAGAAAAATGGTTTCACAAATCAGACACCATGCTTTAAACTATCATTAATTAATTGAGCATCTTTGTAAGGGGCTGGTGCACAGTGGATCAAGCAGCAGTCGAAGGCAGGGGCCCCGACGACCCGATCTCTGGACACGGAGACTAGCCCTGGGGACATGGAATGTCACCTCGCTGGTGGGGAAGGAGCCCGAGCTTGTGCAGGAGGTTGAGAGGTACCGGCTAGATATAGTTGGGCTCACCTCCACGCACAGCTTGGGCTCTGGAACTTTACTCCTCGAGAGAGGCTGGACTCTCTACTACTCTGGAGTTGCCCGCGGTGAGAGGCGGCGGGC